GAGGAGGGGCTATTCGCGTCTTCGTTGTCAGTTTGTAAGAGTGGATGAGAGGGAGGAGGCAAGCTGCGTGCAGCTCTACAATAAAATAAGAGTTTACCCATATTAAATAGTTAAAAAATCTGAAAATCAATGCGTGGCAGTCAGTGTTGATATTGTGCCGGGCCGCCACAAATTAATGAATGTATGGGAAACCCTGAAAGTATCATCCAGACAGACATAGCTGGTAAAACACTGTATTGCCCAATCAGCATTTAACAACTTAGTAATTTATTACATAATTACTTTTCAAGAATGGAAGGGAAATCAGCTTTCCCTGTCTTTCTTTTTCTGAGTTTGCCAATATGCTGCATGACCCTTTAGCCCTGGGTACCAGAAGCTGAGCCAGAGGCTATGAGAGTAAGCAGATGGTATTCCTTTCTCTAACCAGACTCTATGCACTGTTTTCTCCCATTGAATTTACATGTGAGTGTTTATGTGTAGCCCTGAGGAGTTTGGCAGCGGGCAGGCCGATGCCTTCAAGAGTGGATGGGAGGCATGGCTTCTTGTGGCTCAATTTTAAGGTAGTATTGTATTTTGTTTTTACATGCTTAGAATAATTGCCTTGCTCTAGACTTGTTTCTTTTCGAGGAAAGGAGTAAAATTGGTGAGCTTGAGCCAAGAAGGAGCAGATGGTTAACCCTATCTCTCACATTCTCCCTGCCACATGCGATAGATTTGAAGCTTGTGCTACATTTGTTTTATGTGATTGGTTGCTCATGACTGATATTGCTTGTCAGCTCCTCCGTATGCCGCTTTAGTACAACAGCAGTTTAATCAGGAAGTTTTAGTAGTTGTGACTTGCTTACAAGAACATGTCGTGAATAGGAGATGCGGTCTGCATCCATGATCTGTTAGTAAGGAAAAGGCGCCTTTATCCTTGTTGCCCTCAGAAGTCTATGTTAACTCTGGTGCAACATGCGTCTTGGACGACAGCAGACTGTATGCCAAATTTCCGCAGCGTTTTGTCCACAGTGAGTGGTGCCTCCATGGTTCATGTTGGGCTCCTTTTGCAGAGTTCTTCCTCAAGAGACTCCCCTTAATACTCAGTCACTTCAGGGTCCTGTCCAGGAAAGTGTGCTTCACGCATAGGCACAATACCAATACCTACCTATCATGTAAAGGTTGGAGACACTGCAGGGTCTCCATAATACATTTTCAGGCAACCATGTTGCCTGACATAGGCTGTTAGGTCCATCACGACATGTCTTTGACGACCACAGACTGATAGTATTCCCCATTTGACAATGTACTTTTACAAGGCTTTTGGAGTTCATCTGGCAGTGTAGAGACTTCTGCGAAATGTCATCAAAAGTTCTTTGAACTGTAAAACAGGGATATACCATACAATTTGTGTGATTTTAATGCTACTCATTTTAATTGAGTGCTCCCCAAGATGGGTGCCATTCAGGAAGCTCTTGTTTTGGGGCAGGACATTCTTTCCTCTGTCTCAAAGGAAGTCCAGTTTCTATAGCCAATACTTTCTATTCTGTGCAGAAAAAGGTTGGGGGCCTATACCCATCTTGGATTGTGTTGACTGCCACACACTGTTTCACGAATGTAGTTCAGTTGACGAGCAGAACACAAGCAGAAAACACCCATTCCAGCATCGAGTGTGAGTCTAATACTATTCCTAGTAACACAGTCTGCTGCCTCGGCAGTAGAACACACTTCTAAGGATCCACCCACAAGCCCTGACCTCTCAAAGGATCAAGAACAGATTCTCAACACTTATCTTTGCCTCTAGACCTTAGAGCAGGGGTTCCCAACCTTTTTTGTGCCAGGGACCGGCATATTCATAAAAAAAAAATTCCAGGGACCAGTTGTCAATTTGAATACCTCAATTTTTAGATGCATCGTTTGGATTCGGAACATATCACTGTGCAAAACAGTAACAGGATATAATTTATTTGCATATAATGAACTAGGTGGCAACAAAGGCTCCTTGCATACCAATCGTTTTTTAAACTTTCAGAACGGTTCACAAAAAGTTTCTCTTTTCTCCCATTCAATTAGGTCTACTTCAAAAGCAACTCACATAGCACTCACTCACTAGCAGGTGCATAGACGCTGGAACCCCCACCCCCGGCCGCCCCCGAAATTCACATAAGGATTCAATAAGGATTATGTATTAGCATGCATTGTGCAATATCATGCAATTTATACGCGAAAATGAGTTTTTACATGCATTTGATACGCAGAAAACTTAATAATTGGTCAGAATTATGTCTGACCCATTCCGAATGTTTTCCGATATATGGTGACCCAAGCACTGATCGACCAAAGAGCGCACATTTCGACATGTCATTTCACAAAAAATCTTTAACTTTTAGGTAGCAAAATATTTTTTAGAAAATTCTACTAGACTAACACAACCCGGTCTCATCCCAAGACGTCATATAACTGACGTTTTGGGACGTCTTTTGACCATACGTCAATATTCGCCTTTTTAGGGCCCCTTAAACGTTGGTAGATGAGGTTATGGGATCCTAACTCTACCCCAGACCTAAACCTAACCCGTCACCTAACTGACGTTAAAGGTAAAGCGTCAGTTGTATGACGGCCCGGGATCGCCATCTACCAACGTTTAAGGGGGCCCTAAAAAGGCGGATATTGACGTATGGTCAAAAGACGTCCCAAGACGTCAGTTATATGACTTTTTGGGATGAGACTGTGTTAACTAACATCACTCATAAATCCTGAAATTTCACACATCTCTTGAGTTTTATTTAAAACCTTTAACTTTTTCACCAGTTCATGCAGTCAAACGCATACATGTAACATTTTATATGTACTATATATTGACTGAGCAAAAATGTTTTCGGGAAGACATTTGATCATTCTCAAAGCTGGCCTGAAGCGCTAACAGAGAACAGAGAGCTGAGAACAGAAGCTGTTCCCTTCAGGTCACGTTCAACTATGAATACATGAACACACACACAGAGGCTGTCCGGTACTGTCAGAAATAGTTAACTCTGTGGCAATGCATGTGCAAAACTAATCATAAAGTCAACCAGGATCCATAACACAGCCTACTAGGCCTATATAGAAGCCTTGACATTAACTTTTTTGCTCACTAGCCAATTTTTTCCAAAATTACAAGCCACGCAGCACTTTTACTAGCCACATTTTTGTTGTTGGAAAATTACGTTTATATGATTTAAGTTGACAAAGGGGCTTTAAACGTGCTAAAATTTACTAACTCTGTTGTAAAGCTATTAATATAGACACAGTAAAATAGCTACATAAAATAAAATTGCTGCATCATTTTTTTCAACAAATCCACAATTAAGGGCCTATTACAACTTCATATGGGCCTATGACAGTTTTGGGGACTTTGAATTGTTTGTTTTGCATCAGCATTTCCTCAGAGCTCTAACTTAATAATTATCATCAACTGGAGATATGTCCATCAGAAACAAGTACAAACGCATCTCCTGCTTTCTTTCATTGCATGATTAATTTTAAACATAAAATGAACTCTGGAAATATAGTTGTGATATGACGTGGCATAAGGACAGCCCTGCTAGTGTCCATAAATCATGAAGATTTTTTCTTTATATCAGCCACGCACATGCACGAACTGACTGAACGCTGTGTTGATGTGTGTGTGCATGCGACCAGTCGCGTGTGATGATTGTTTTACAAAAGTCTGGATGTCATATTTGGCGCGTACACCCTCGTGCAGCGGCACTGCAGAAGAGCATGAGACGCGCCCATGTTCTGGATTCCCCTGCTTTTAAAAAAGATCGCTATATTATCACATTAAGTTGATAATTAAACCCAGACGAAAACAGCCTTCAGTCCGACGGCCAGTCCGCCTGTTTAATCTTCTCTAATTGCAATTCGTTTGTTATGTCAGATGTCTTTTGACAAGGCTACAATTTTTCAACAAGCCAAAGTGGCTAGTAGGAGCGACTGTGTTACCCGCCACGGGTGAAATCCACCCGCATTTGGCGGGTGTTAATGTCAATCCCTGCCTTTATATTAACAGTTTCAGAATACAATAGCAAACACACCTTGATTTGGATGTTTGGTGAAGTGCCGCTGCAGTTTTGATGGCTTCATTGCTTGTTTGGAGAGTTTTTCACCACAAATTACACACAACGGATTTGACGCCACGGAAACGCCTGTTGTCGTGAATCCATACCTAATGTACTTTTTCTTTTTCTTTCTCTATATTTCAAGTTGGTCATCCCCTTTTTCTTTTACCGGAACTGTCCGCAATGAAATTAGGCATTAAAGTCTGCTGAGCCCGCTCATCTCTCCGCATACTTCTGTCACTTCAGCTGCACGCACCCATGCACGCACCGCACTCAGTCTGTTTAGATACGACGCGTTGCTAAGCAATCGGAAGGCGCTCAAAGAAACACGTATTAATATTTTTACTTATTTGTATTTATTTATTGTTTGTGTTTTGGATTAAATAACATGACACGTTAAAAAGCATCTTAAAAATACAAATATTATTATGGAAAAAAAAAAAATCGGGGAATATTTCAAGGCCCGGTACTAAAGTGTTCACGGACCGGGGGTTGGGAATCTGCCTTAGAGCACACTCCACTCAGGCACTTGCGGCTATAGCACCAATAAATTGTTGTAGTGAGCACTGTCTTGTTCCTTAAAGGAACCAAAGTTACAATGAGATGCTTCCTAATCACTTTCGGTCTGCCATTACTCTAACCAATATTGTGATGTGGACAGGACTACCTTATTGTTAAAGCAGAAGAACTCAAATAAAAAGCAATGTGTTGAAAGTGTCAACGAGCCACAGTATTTAAGCCATGCAAGACAACCTATAAGTGACATACTTGAATAAGCATATTAAACTGGAATATTTCACCTTCAACTCTTTAGTATGTATTTTAATGAAACATTCTACAGAGGAAAGATATAACACTAACACACACGCACACACACACACACACACACACACACACACAAATAATAGGACAGTTACTCACACATTGAGGGGTTGCCAGGCTGGCCATTGAGCCTTCATCTTTATGACGGTTAAGACCTCGTCACCCTGCATGTGTGATAAAACACATAAAAGTAAATCAATAAGTAAATGTCATGGTAAACAAATCATGGTAAAATTACTGTAAAACCGAGTAAGAATTACAGTACTTTTTGAAGAGTCTCTCTCTTTCTCTCATGACATCCCTTTATTAGTCTTGACAGAAAGTAATGTATGAAGCCTCCTATTCTTCCTGCTGATGGAGTGATCTCATCAGCGTCTCATAAAAGCTGTATAAATATTTCATCAATGGCTCACGGCACGCAGGCCAGCAGTGTGTGTGTTCGTGTATTGCTCACTTAAACCATATCAGGAGTTCATGGGAAGGGCATCACTGAAGACTGTCAAGGAAAATTTTACTGCTGGGTTAAAATGCATAATTTCTTGATCATGAAAATGCATGACACTTTGATTCACACTTTGAGCTTTACATGCAGTATTGGTGCAGTTTCCTCACACACTAATTTGTACACACTCAAAAGCAGAACACAATTCTACATTTGTATATCAAGTATCTTTGTATATCTAGTGATGCTCAAGGAGCATCTGTACATTTAAACATTTACACATCTAATTTCTCACGAATGCAATTATTTAATCAACATGGCAGTTGCTTCAATGCATTTATGGGTGTGGTCCTGGTAAAGGCAATCTCCTGAACTCCAAACTGAATGTCAGAATGAGAAAGAAAGGTGATTTAAAGGGATACTCCCACTTTTTTGGCAATAGGCTCATTTTACAACTCCCCCAGAGTTAAACAGTTGAGTTTTACCGTTTTTGAATCCATTCAGCCGATTTTCTGATATTTAGAAGAATATCAGTAACCAGACAGTTTCTGGTCTCATTGACTTCCATAGTAGTAAAAATATACTATGGAAGTCAATGAGACCAGAAACTGTCTGGTTACTGATATTCTTCTAAATATCATAAAATCACCAGAATACATTCGAAAACGGTAAAACTCAACTGTTTAACTGTGGGGGAGTGGTAAAATGAGCCTATTTCCAAAATAAGTGGAGTATCCCTTTAAGCAATTTTGAGCATGGCATGGTTGTTGGTGCCAGATGGGCCGGTCATTTCACAATCTGCTCAGTTACTGGGATTTTCATGCACAACCATTTCTAGGGTTTACAAAGAATAGTGTGAAAAGGGAAAAACATCCAGTATGCGGCAGTCCTGTGGGCGAAAATGCCTTGTTGATGCTCGAGGTCAGAGAAGAATGGGCCGTCTAATTCAAACTGATAGAAGAGCAACTTTGACTGAAATAACCACTAGTTACAACCGAGGTATGCAGCAAAGCATTTGTGAAGCCACTACATGGACAACCTTTAGGCGGATGGGCTTCAACAGCAGAAGACCCGAGTACCACTCATCTCCACTACAAATAGGAAACAGAGGCTACAATTTGCAAGAGCTCACCAAGATTGGACAGTTGAAGACTGGAAAAATTGTTGCCTGGTCTAATGAGATTTCTGTTGAGACATCCAGATGGTAGTGTCAGAATTTGCCGTCAACCGAATGAGAACATGGATCCATCATGCCTTGTTACCACTGTGCAGGCTGGTGGTAGTGTAATGATGTGGTGGATGTTTCTTGGCACACTTTTGGCCCCATTTGGGCCATTTTGTGCCATTTGGGCATTTTTTAAATGCCATGGCCTACCTGAGCATTGTTTCTGACCATGTCCATACCTTTATGGCCACCATGTACCCATCTTCTCGAATCGTTTCAAATTAGTTTCTTAAACATGACAATGAGTTCACTGTACTAAAATGGCCCCCAAGTGGTCACCAGATCTCAACCCAATAGAGCACCTTTGGGATGTGGTGGAACGGGAGCTTCGTACCCTAGATGTGAATCCCACAAATCTCCATCAACTGCAAGATGCTTTACTATCAATATGTCGAACATTTCAAAAAAATACTTTTAGCACCTTGTTGAATCAATGCCACGTAGAATTAAGGCAGTTCTGAAAGCGAAAGGGGGTCAGTATTAGTATGGTAGGTGAGTGTGTGTGTGTATATACAGTATATATATATATATATATATATATATATATATATACTGTATATATCCAGTGAGGAGAAATAGTATTTGAACACCCTGCTATCTTGCAAGTTCTCCCATTTAGATATCATGGAGGAGTCTAGGTTTCGGGGCTATCACTGAGAAACACGGAGTTTGAGCTCCGTCCAAAGATTCTCTATTGGGTTTAGGTCTGGAGACTGGCTAGGCCACGCCAGAACCTTGATATGCTTCTTACAGAGCCACTCCTTGGTTATCCTGGCTGTGTCCTTCGGGTCATTGTCACCGGCCTCGACCCATCTTCAATGCTCTAACTGAGGGAAGGAGGTTGTTCCCCAAAATCTCGCAATACATGGCCCCGGTCATCCTTTCCTTAATACAGTGCAGTTGTCCTGTCCCATGTGCAGAAAAACACCCCCAAAGCATGATGCTACCCCATGCTTCACAGTAGTGATGGTGCTCATGGGATGGTACTCACCATTCTTCTTCCTCCAAACATGCTTAGTGGAATTATGAAAAAAATGTTCTATGTTGGTCTCATCTGACCACATGACTTTCTCCCATGACTCCTCTGGATCATCCAAATGGTCATTGGAAAACTTAAGATGGGCCTTGACATGTGCTGGTTTAAGCAGAGGAACCTTCCGTGCCATGCATGATTTCAAACCATGACGTCTTTGTGTATTACCAACAGTAACCTTGGAAACGGTGGTCCCAGCTCTTTTCAGGTCATTGACCAGCTCCCCCGTTTAGTTCTAGGCTGATTTCTCACATTTTATTATTATTATTATTATTATTTATAAAAAAAATACATTAAAGGAGTAGTTCACTTAAAAAAAAAACTTGTGCTCATCCAAGATGTCCATGTCTTTCTTTCTTCGGTCGAAAATAAATTAAGGTTTTTGATGAAAACATTCCAGGATTTTTCTCCATATAATGGACTTCACTGGGCACCAAATGGTTCAAGGTTCAAATGAGATTTTCAGAGCAGCTTCAAAGGTCTTTAAACGATACCAGATGATGAATAAGGGTCTTATTTAGTAAAACAATTGGTCATTTAAAAAAAAAAAAATCCCCCTATGGAGTAATAGTTTAGGTTATGTTTTATTTCCACTTGATTTAATCTAGTTAACTCAGTATGATTTTAAACACAATATGATTTTCGTTGATCGAGATCTGGCAGCAGCACATTTTTCCTCTTGGGTGAGTGATTCGCATACAGCTTTTCCTGCACATTAAATCCCCTGAATGCCAGCAAACCAATGAGAACACGATACAGTGATGATGCATAACAAAGTGTAGGCAGCAAAGCTGCTGTGGATTCGCTTACACTATCAATGAGTGGTAGATTTGAAGAAAATTACCGTAGTTTGGCAAATAAATAAATGACTGAGAGTTATACGTATTATAAACATTTTACACCTCAAACAAGGGAATTCATAGTAATCAGCGAGTGGCTTGGGTATGCAGAACATCTGCAGCTTTTATGGTTCGCACACTGATGTACATACATGCATACATACATACATACATGCTAAATTGATGCTCAAGAAACATTTCTTCTTATTATCATCAGTTATCAAGCCTCATAACAGCCAGTGTCAAAACCAACCACCTTACAGTTTAATGTAATGTTAACCCTAAAAGCTAAGTGGTTTCTTAAGTTTGATATCTGCTATGTCATGTTGATGACATAATTATGACAGGTTGAGTTGTCTTCGTAATGTCAAGATGTCATGACAAAGACACTGACAGGTTATGATGTATTGGTTTATGTCAAGTGGTCATGACAAAGACATCTCAAACAATGTCATATTTTATGAAATATGACAATACGCGATTACACAAGTAACACGACGCATGGAATGCATTAGGTGACAGTTGACCATGCAGAGCATAAGGGAGAAGTTGGGAGTGTAGGGGAAAGTTCCAATGCTTCGGGAAAAGCTACATTTGAAAGAGTTTTGATTTGATTACCACTACAAACAGTTAGCCTGAAGCCTTCAACAGTGAATGCTATTCTTTTTCTTCAGTGAAGAATCTTCACAACACTCGTGAATGATGATCAACATACATGTAGCCTACTCAGTTCAATGGCTTTTTTTTTATTATTATTTAACGTTAGCTAGTTGGCGAAGAGATCTTCGAAATGTTGTTCTTGAGTAAAAGAGCTTAATCTTAATTTACTGCTTTGGCTATATAATATTATCTACTACATGCTTATGCTTCTCTGTAATGGACAGTCTGTATTAATATTTGTGGGCATGATTGTCAGTGGTGGTAGTTATGTTTGAGGCATATAATACAAGTTTACCTCTTAGTAGCGTGTGAGCGTGTAGCAGAGACTGCGCACATTAGAAAGTGCATGTCAGAGAGAACTTAAAGTGATTTCGATTTTGGTCTCGGTCTCGGGTGGGGTTTGGGATGGATTTTTTTTTGGCCTGTGCAGGGCTCTAAGCCAGAATAGATGGTGGACCTGCACCCAGGACTACCACAACACAGCCCTTAAATGTCAACAACAATTTAACAATTTGACACTTAGGGCGAGACACGGCAGGGAAAAACATCGTTTTTTTTTTTTTCACTGGTCAATTTTGAGATATTTGTCTTCAATAACATATCTTCTTTCAGACTTGTGGTGAAAAAAGTCTGAAATTCACATTCACATCGTTATAAATCATCCTGCTGCTCAGCGATCGCAATCTGCCTGTTATCACACACCGTTGGAAAGCTATCTTTTTCCTGTACAATGCTGTCAGATCCAAATATGGTTATTTCCTTTTTATCAGCCACCAATCATGAAAGTAAAAGGGGGGGATTTAACTCTAAATGTGCATCTCATTGGCTGATGCTAAATCTTTAAGGCTAGTTTTCTCAAAATGACTTTTCTCTCATACTCCAAGTCTGAAATATCCACTTCAGTAGCACCTATATACACCAAACTTTACAGTATTGTACCTAGTTATATTATGAAGACATTTACA